CTTAACGCGACTTTCTCTCTGCTCCAATACTTAACATGACTTTCTCTCTGCTCCAATACTTAACATGATTTTCTCTCTGCTCCAATACTTAACATGACCTTCTCTCTGCTCCAATACTTAACGCGACTTTCTCTCTGCTCCAATACTTAACATGACTTTCTCTCTGCTCCAATACTTAACATGACTTTCTCTCTGCCCCAATACTTAACGTGACTTTCTCTCTGCCCCAATACTTAACATGACTTTCTCTCTGCCCCAATACTTAACGTGACTTTCTCTCTCCTCCAATACTTAACATGACTTTCTCTCTGCCCCAATACTTAACGTGACTTTCTCTCTGCTCCAATACTTAACATGACTTTCTCTCTCCTCCAATACTTAACATGACTTTCTCTCTGCCCCAATACTTAACATGACTTTCTCTCTGTCCAATACTTAACATGACTTTGTCTCTGTCCCAATACTTAACATGACTTTCTCTCTGCTCCAATACTTAATGTGACTTTCTCTTTCCTCCAATTACTTAACATGACTTTCTCTCTGCCCCAATACTTAACGTGACTTTCTCTCTGCTCCAATACTTAACATGACTTTCTCTCTGCTCCAATACTTAACATGACTTTCTCTCTGCCCCAATACTTAACATGACTTTCTCTCTGCTCCAATACTTAACATAACTTTCTCTCTGCCCCAATACTTAACGTGACTTTCTCTCTGCCCCAATACTTAACGTGACTTTCTCTCTGCTCCAATACTTAACATGACTTTCTCTCTGCTCCAATACTTAACATGATTTTCTCTCTGCTCCAATACTTAACATGACCTTCTCTCTGCTCCAATACTTAACGTTACTTTCTCTCTCCTCCAATACTTAACATGACTTTCTCTCTGCCCATATACTTAACGTGACTTTCTCTCTGCTCCAATACTTAACATGACTTTCTCTCTGCTCCAATAATTAACATGACTTTCTCTCTGTCCCAATACTTAACATGACTTTCTCCCTGTCGCAATACTTAACATGACTTTCTCTCTGCCCCAATACTTAACATAACTTTCTCTCTGCCCCAATACTTGACATAACTTTCTCTTTGTCGCAATACTTAACATGACTTTCTCTCTCCTCCAATACTTAACATGACTTTTTCTCTGCTCCAATACTTAACATGACTTTGTCTCTGCCCCAATACTTAACATGACTTTCTCTCTGCTCCAATACTTAACGTGACTTTCTCTTTCCTCCAATTACTTAACATGACTTTCTCTCTGCCCCAATACTTAACGTGACTTTCTCTCTGCTCCAATACTTAACATGACTTTCTCTCTGCTCCAATACTTAACATGACTTTCTCTCTGCCCCAATACTTAACATGACTTTCTCTCTGCTCCAATACTTCACATAACTTTCTCTCTGCCCCAATACTTAACGTGACTTTCTCTCTGCCCCAATACTTAACATGACTTTCTCTCTGCTCCAATACTTAACATGACTTTCTCTCTGCTCCAATACTTAACATGATTTTCTCTCTGCTCCAATACTTAACATGACCTTCTCTCTGCTCCAATACTTAACGTGACTTTCTCTCTCCTCCAATACTTAACATGACTTTCTCTCTGCTCCAATACTTAACGTGACTTTCTCTCTGCTCCAATACTTAACATGACTTTCTCTCTGCTCCAATAACTAACATGACTTTCTCTCTGTCCCAATACTTAACATGACTTTCTCTCTGTCGCAATACTTAACATGACTTTCTCTCTGCCCCAATACTTAACATGACTTTCTCTCTGCCCCAATACTTAACGTGACTTTCTCTCTGCTCCAATACTTAACATGACTTTCTCTCTGCTCCAATACTTAACATGACTTTCTCTCTGCCCCAATAATTAACATGACTTTCTCTCTGCCCCAATAATTAACGTGACTTTCACTCTGTCGCAATACTTAACATGACTTTCTCTCTGCTCCAATACTTAACGTGACTTTCTGTCTGCCCCAATACTTGACATAACTTTCTCTCTGCCCCAATACTTAACATGACTTTCTCTCTGCTCCAATACTTAACATAACTTTCTCTCTGCTCCAATACTTAACATGACTTTCTCTCTGCTCCAATACTTAACATGACTTTCTCTCTGCTCCAATAATTAACGTGACTTTCTCTCTGCCCCAATACTTAATGTGACTTTCTGTCTGCCCCAATACTTAACATGACTTTCTCTCTGCCCCAGTACTTGACATGACTTTCTCTCTGCCCCAATACTTAACATTACTTTGTCTCTGCCCCAATACTTAACATGACTTTCTCTCTGCTCCAATACTTAACATGACTTTCTCTCTGCCCCAATACTTAACGTGACTTTCTCTCTGCGCACCCTCTGCACCCCCTCTATATTGACAAGTGTGTATGTATGTTAAAGTAAAACCTGGCCGTTCCGCATCCCGTCAGTCCGGAGCCGATCTTGTTGGGAACGTCTGTGTATACTACTCAAAAGAAGTTAAAGACCGCCCGAATATGTCATATTACTATTGTCATGCCACACGAATCTAGCATATTACTACGGTTCACGTGTCACGCCATGACCATGCCATGACCATGCCATGACTCGTGTGGTCCTTAACTTATGTTGAGTAGTATATATTGACAGCAACATTTCTCCGCTCCATTGTGCGTTTATCCGAACGGTTTCACCACAACGATGCCGTACGGTGCCACCAACCCAAAATTATGATCAAGGCGAATCTAAGATTCGAACCCACGACGATAGGATCCGCAACGACTAAGGGACGCAACTCTGCGCAGCGAGGCGTGGATGTATATGAACACACATTCTTCTGAATGAAGCTCTTTCGTAGCTTACACTTGTGAGTGGTAATGTGTCGAGTTCCGAGATTCTTGACATTCGTCGATGATTAAATATGTACATCCCCAAGAGCAAAGACGCATAAAAGAAGCGGGGAAAGCGGTTTCAGGTATATGTATGTAACATAAACCCTTGATGAACACTTGATAAATATGTAGAATAAATACTTCATGAATACTTGAACTTCGGGCTCGAAGTCTGGGTGTCTCAGTAGGGTATTCATGTTAAACTGCGGCATGGTATCTCAGTGGGCTAGCACTATAAATTCGGCATTAGTCCGGACTAGTACAAGAGTCACCCGCTGGCTCTATGCATTGTTTCAGTGGCGACACTGGATTTACACACGAACAGTGTTGCATTTTATGTTGATTATGACTCGCAATTATGACTCCGAGTGGCCGGAGTCAGTATACTGTATCGGAGTCAGTATACCGTGTCTGAGTGGGGTATTCATGTTAAACTAAGTGGCAACTAAGTAGGCTGGCACTATAAAACCGACACTAGTCCGGGCAGCACAAGCAGCATGCACGTGCTATATTTATAAGTGCAATAATATTGAACGTGACTTAAATCCTAAGGAGAGTGAGAAGAGCCCAAAATGATTCCGCTTTTCGACATTTAACACTTTGCTAAAATCTACGAGCACACATGGTGTGGTGCTGATAGACTAAGAATCCTAATCAGGACACATCTGGGATTCGAACCCATAATCATCGGGTTTGAAGATTAATTCAGGCGTGCCCATGAATACTGTCGTCAGCGTCCCCACCTGTATTGGGGAATAATGTTACCGCTTCTCTCACAGACGGTTCGAGCGATGTATTAAATAAGAAAACGTCAATCTCATTAAAATCAGATCTTAGTTCTCGCTACGGCTAAACAAAGATCTGAGGACATCCAATCACGGGTCACGTCAGACCGACCGTGCTTTGACCGACCAGTGGAATGACCAATCAGAAGGCAGCTTTCTCGTGCTTTACGGCACTAATTTCAAATTGGCGACTACGCTTCGAAACATATTTTGACAAATTCTCGATTATAAATTTGAAACCAGAACAAAAGAACATTCTGTAATGGCTATTAGATGGTTCAGATTGTATGGATTCAGTCGTTAAACCCGTAACTATCGTTCGGAACACCCTGTGTTAAAGTTTTCGAGGTTGCATGATTAGAAATCACATTCCGACTGTCACTTTCATAATCTGGTAAGCGACGCTCTGATTGGTCGGATGAAAGGTCGTTCTGACGTTACCCCTAATTGGATGTCTTCAGATCTTTGTTTAGCGGTGATTGCAAGACGGGCATACCTTGTCATAGTGTTTTTTTGTGACCGAGTTTGAGGCGTGGGATGGCTACCTCAACTTTCCTTGTATTTGAGTATGAGTATGGCTTTTGGTGGATCTCGGGTTGAGTTTTGTATAGCCATCTGCCGATCTTACTTGGTGATTGTTGTCACCCAATACTAAGTGTAAGAATGGTCGATCCGCGAAATACGTCACTGATCCTGGCGGAGATGGGGTGAGTGCGGCTAACTAGGATATTACGATAATGGCACGGGCACAGCTGATAAAGATGGTTTCCTGTAGTGTTGAAATCGAGAAGGACTTTACTTCTATCAACGTCAGAGTTAATCTTCCTGCAGTGAGTACCAGTGTAATAGGAAAGCCGACACGAATCACTGGGTCTTTTCGGTTGTTTTATTAACGTTTGGGATTGTCGATTAATCCCATAGCTGATTGGGGGGTTTACTCCCGCTATGCCCGCACGTCACGGTAAATCAACCATGCCACAAGTGTTGCAAGTGTAGGGCCGTATCAGGGAAACATGAAGCGCTGGCCCCGAAGCGATATTTCAAATAAGTGGACAACTGATTTATCTTGCCGCACACCTAATTATATTCACCTGATGAAGGAGTAAGCATCTACTCCGAAACGTTGTGTTTCTCATAATAAAGACGTTGACATCCATATATTCTCTTCTTTATCAATCTATCGACAGCCCACGCTAAAACGCTCTGTTTCAAATTTAAACTAGAAGTATCTAATCTACATTTAGACTATTTCAAATTTCAAGACACAGTAGGTTGTCTCCCAATTCATATGCCTAAAATATAGGATTCGTTTCTATTGTTTCAGTGATGACAGTGACTTGCTCCGCCGAAAGTAAAGGTGTTTTTTGCAAGGGAGATGGTCCAGGTGCGATCCCCGACCCAATACCGGACGCCAAGCAACAAGCCACGTTCCAGTGCGCACTGGCGTGTCTGAAATCCGGTTCCGCTTCATGTGCTTCCGCTGGATTTGCCATGAAGTGGGACGGTCCGACATGCGAGGCGAAGGGAGCGGGCGGCGCGAGCAGAACGGACTACACCTGTACCAGCTTATAAGCTGGTGTGACGATGCCGTTATAAGCTGGTGTGACGATGCCGTTAAACTTGGATGATAGTTATTGCTATCTACACACATTTTCTGTTCACTCTTATGAGACTATTGTCGAATTTTGACAACATTAACGTTTTCTTTGAAATGATTTAAACTATTTCAAGATTATACTGCAAACTGCACTTCAACTTTCATTGAGCTATTTTGTTAGCGATGAAACTCAAGGGTGGATCCAGCATTCTTATCAAAATCCTCTCTGTACTACATTTGGTGTTCCATAAGTGGTAGGATGTGGCTCTTGTTCCGCCTATGATACTGTTCTGAAAAAACAACAACATAGTTATGACATTTATTTTACAATAATGATTTCTAAGAATCTACTGGTGAAACTGCAGTCCTTATTTTTGTTGTGTTGACTTTATTACATTGATGTATTGTGTGTCATGTTGTCCACGTTGTGTCGAGGCCACGACACGATTCTGTGTTAACCCTTTCTATCCCCGTGTACAGCGAATTGTTGATCAGCACAGGTGGAAAAGGACGGTATATTGATTAAAACAATATTCAGTAACAATCAAAATGATATCGGAATGGAGTTTACTTTTTCAAAGATTGCATTTCATCTGCAAATCTTTTTTTTTTTAAACCGACATACAATCAATATGTCGATAAATCTGTGAATGTTATAAGATTAACAATTTCTTCAGATGTTTTTTAAATACATTTTCGGTAATTGTTATGGTTAGGGTTACTGGTGAAAAGCAAGCCAAACAAGATATGCTATTGTCCCGAAAACATATTAAATGTGTTTTAGGTTCGGGACAGTCGTCAGCTGTAGTCAGGCATTCCAATCCCTCTTGTCCCACTCGGTGTCTAGGATGTATACAGTAGCAGCCCTGAGTACCCTAATTATTCCACCCTCATGACACTACCCTAGCTATACCACCCTAGTGACACTACCCTAATTACACCACCCTGATTATACCACCCTAATGACAGTACCCTAATTACACCACCCTGATTATACCACCCTAATGACAGTATCCTAATGACGCTACCCTAATTACACCACCCTAATGACACTACCCTAATGACGCTACCCTAATGACGCTACCCTTATGACGCTACCCTAATTATACCACCCTAATGACAGTACCCTAATGACGCTACCCTAATTACACCACCCTAATGACACTACCCTAATGACGCTACCCTAATGACACTACCCTAATGACGCTACCCTAATGACGCTACCTTAATGACGCTACCCTAATTATACCACCCTAATGACACTACCCTAATGACGCTACCCTAATGACACTACCCTAATGACGCTACCCTGAGGACGCTACCCTAATGACACTACCCTAATCACACAACCCTAATGACGCTACCCTAATGACGCTACCCTTATGACGCTACCCTAATTATACCACCCTAATGATAGTACCCTAATGACGCTACCCTAATGACACCGCCCTAATGACACTACCCTAATTACGCTACCCTAATGACGCTACCCTAATTGTACCACCCTAATGACACTACCCTAATTACAACACAACCCTATTTTTTATTTCACACATTGCTCTAATTCCAACGTCTAGGCAGACGCTGGGGCGGTGGGGTAGTCTAAAAGCGTTAGTTCGTCACGCTGCAGGCCCGGGTTCTATTCGTTACATGGGTACAATGCCCTAAGGTCATTTCTGGGGACTTCCGCCGCAGGAATATTGCTAAAATAACATAAAATCATACTAACTCACTCACTCACTCATACTCTTTGGCAACGGACCATAGAGCGGCGGTGTTATTTATACCAACATGTTATCTTAATAACTCATGTGTTTAAACTTACATCTTTAGACTTGACTGTGGTGTTCATAACGTCATGTACACACTTACCAAACGATGTAAAAATCCGTCCAGCCTGTTCTTGTGCATGTTATCTTTCAAATAAATCTGTAAATGTTTTGTAAGTGTCATTATGATTTTTCTATATACTATATACTACTCAAAACAAGTTAAAGACCACCTACAATTAGAAGGCTGTATGTTGCAAAACCCTCAACTGTGACAGATTAATTAGTCTTTTAAAAACATCGGGTGTTCTTTAACTTCTTTTGAGTAGCATATCAATACATGGTGTTAACTCAAGCAATAACATATATGTATGTATAATAGACGTTTTATAAAAAATTAGACATTTATGATGACGTCAGTCTATTTCCAGAACGAGCATGCTGAAGGACACGGTGTTCTGGGTAGAACTGGTACCCAGGAACCTGTATGGGACTGTAAAAAACTATGTTTCATTTTCATTTATTTTAAGTTCTCTAAATATATATTACTGAATGAAACTGTATGTAACCTTAAACTCGTCTTATAGCAAATAATGCTGACGGGACAAAATAAGTCAGTGATGTCACTATCTCAAGGGAGTTAACTGGCTATAAAAGTCCAGTTTCCACCCAGGCCGAACTAGGTTGGAACTTGTGGTATCGATTGTGGCGCCACCAGTGACTATTACGAGTTATGTTCCTTCTTGACCTTCCTATTGACCAATCAGATTCCACCTCTCATATCATTTGCATTTGCTTCAAACAAAATGGCAGCGCCCAGGGAAGACGCTCTGATCGATAATCAAGATCTTTATTGTAATAAAACGGGTCTTACTTCACGAAGTGCATCAATCACGTGAGCACCTTGATTAAAAACATGAAAAGATTTCGAATTTACATGTTGACGCTAAATTGACGATACACATGCTTTGCAAATCCTGCAATCGACCGAAATCTTCAGTTAATGAACCTAAAGGCGATTTTGATTGGACTATGCATAGACTTGTTAGTTCAGCCAAAACTCCAAAATTCCAGCCAAGGTCGACTTCTATAGTCAGTTAACCTCACTAACACACAGGCAGGAAGTCCGAAGGCGATTACGTCATCGTCTACTAGACGTCATTTCAACACTCGCCCCTTTCCGTAACCTATCTTTATTCCGAAAAACACGAGCGGGTCACAAATGCGTAGTCGTACGGCGACAGAAGCCGACGCCACGACCAGCCTAGTCTGTCTCACAGTCCCTGAGCCATATTATTTCCCCCTCAGCCCTTATTGTAATGCTATGGCCCTAAATGAAGCAAGTCTAGATTTTCCACAGGTTCTGAATCTACCTCGCACTGTTCGATGTTTTGGGCAGGTTACCCTGATTGACCATGTCGGTCATGTTTTGTAGGCAGAGGTATTACACAACGTGGCGCAAGGTCTGGGACCCACCTACATGTACACACGTAAGGTCCGGAACGTAGGGGTAATGGGTAGAGCATAGAGGCATGGCCTCTAGGCATAGAGGCATAGATACCAGGCCTTATCTTGATCCTTTATTTTAACATTAAGCAACCATACTGAAGTGAAAAGAGTATCTATACACTGGAGGTTAGAGTCGACTAATTCAGATTGGGAGGCCTGGTCCGTGCCTGGACAGTGTGAATTATTGCGCATGCGTTCAGATTATTTCCAGAACCAAGCTTGAACATCGCTGACTGTGGCATTCAATACTAATAAACTTAAACCATGTTATGGTTGATGGATAATTTCTCTGTACAGTTTTGAAAAATGACCTATAGTTGAGTCCATTTTACATGTTAAACTGCGCGTTCAGAACGGCCATTGAATTCCTGGCTCAGAATGAACTGAGCGTGAACAACAATAGCATGAGGTCATCATAATGGTTTAGTAACAAAGGAAAAATAACTCTGTTTTTAGGATTTAGGTTTGTCTTGCGTGGAGGCAACGCCGTTTTTAGTCCCTTAAAGGCCATATATCAAATAAACGCCAGAAATTCAGTTGATACGCTGTGCCTCGATTTCCATTAAACTCCAGGTAATTTTTTATGCATGAAAGATCCACGAGCACGTGTATGGTGCTGTCAAATCCAGATTCAAGATCGAGGTGGATCTAGGATTCGAACTCGCAATGAGAGTATTCTTGCAAGAGGACACAACACGTGGCCTAAGACGACTGAGCGACCCAAGGATTATTTAAAATTCATTCGAAACGCTTCTGAGTGAAACTATGTTGCAGCTTCCGTTTGTGCTGATCATGTTTCTGGTTGAGAGATGCCTGGCGTACGTGGTGCTGATGGCCTGAGGATGATCACCAGAGCCAACCTGGGATTCGAACTCACGATCATCGGACTATGCAATGCTTAAGAGGGATAAGGGGTGGGCCATTTGATATTTTGGGGGCCTGGGTTTTTGGAGAAGAGTCATGTTTTTTCTTTCTTCATTTTTAGAGGCTGAGATTTTTTTCTTCTGAAAAGAGAGCTGAAATATATCTTTTCTATGGCAAATGTCAAATTCAACCTATGGAAAGAATGTAAAAATATTCTCACTGTTCACTAAAACATAATACCTGAACAGAGGCAGGTGATTTTGAAACAGAACAATGAAAATAGTATAAAACTTTTCATAAAATAATGAATAAGAGACCATTTTTTACAACACCATGTGTAGCAAAACCCAGTCAATTTGATATGTTGTACTTACATCTACTGGGGGAATGTGCTTTTCAATTACAAAGATGGTGTGGATGGTGGACATAAGTAGCATAACTTTTGATGTAAACTGATGAAAAAAAATAAACGTTACCAAACTGAAAGTTTGAAGCATTGGGTCCAAACCCCGATTTGTGTTACAAAATTGTTGAGAATCAATCGCCCAAACACAACCACAACAGTTTGCTGAGCAAAGCACGTGCTACATTACCTAGATCAGTGGAACTTGAGTTTGAAGTGAAACTTTTGCTGCACTTGCAGCATGCCTGCCTACAAAGATATGGTTATAGAAGGAACGATGTACTGTTCATTCACACACAAACCATTAGACAGTGACCAATAACATTCTGAGATTAATGGTACTAAAGAACAAGCCATTGGTATGAAGCAACGCATGACCAGGTTGCAAGGAGTTTTGGCTCTAGCCAAAAGACAGTCACCAGGCTGATGGTCCGTTATAGGCACACTGGATGGACGGGAGACATGGGATACTTCATCTTGGAAGTCATTGGTGAGGCATGCCACGATTAGCCATACACCATAACAATACACCTAAACATCGTAGAGTTTTTGTCCCCAAAAGCATTTTAAAAATATTGAAAGTCCAAGTACACAGTAAAATGCATTTCTCCAATCACAAAGATCAGTGTTTGGCTCAGATTGGTCAGAATTAGGACACACTCACTCACATCATCACAAAGAAACAGGTGACACCAGACCCAATAGACTCCCTTTTTATAGAATGTTCCAGACAGTTGGAAGAAATGTTTGAAGCCAATATCATTCAGCCCAGGTCTTCTGAATGGTACTTTCCCATTGTCATGGTTAAAAAACGTGATAGCTCTGAGCACTTTGCCATAGATTATAGACGCCTCAATGCAGTTACCAAATCTTTTCCCTCTACCTTCTCTGGCAATTTTTTTAGTGTGCTTGATTGTGCTAGTGGTTTTAAGCAAAGACCACTCCATCAAGTAAAACACAAGTTGACCTAAATTACACACGGTGCTGTTTTTGGATGGAATCGTCTCCCTTTTTGGCCTCGAAAATGCTCCTATGGCATTTCTGCAAACCATCCCAGAGGCATTAAAGAAATCAATTGGAGCTACATCCTAATATATGTAGATGACATAATAATTTCTTAAATGCTTTTCGTCCCAAGTTAACATTGCATGAAAAGTTGTAATTTAAATATCTGGGTAATTTTTGTCAAAGTTCCTAAAATTTAACATTACCTTGTCAGGAAAAATGAAATTGATGATAAAAAACCAAAGCAGATGTCAATAAAACTGATCGCCAAAACGCATTACGGCAACGGCCATAGTAACCCGATGCACGTGAGTTCAGTGCAAATTCACCCAGATCGGATAACATTAATTTGTTATTGAATTGCTACCACATGCCAAGATTGACAAGAAATCAGCGACACCAAGCCCTTGGACGATTGCAAGCTGGACAAACTGCCCGGCAACTAGCCAATCCATTTACGTCCATATAAGGATCATATACAGGCTCCAGCAATGGTTCCAGACCATCAACATCACAGATGACTGATCACTTTGTTACTGCTGCGGAAACTGCTGGACAGATCATTGGGAAATACCAATGACACATCAGTCTGGACACCGTGCGTCAACGATTGACGAGCAGACACCTCCACTGTCACAGGCCACCCCGAGGACCCATTCTCACACCATGTCATCGCGTGACCGTGTGACCATCTTCAGGGGGCAACACAGCACCAGCATTGGCGGCACCAGCAGTGGAGAAGAGTCCTCTTCTCAGACGAGAGCTGTTACTGTATCTCAACAGCAGATGGCAGAGAGAGAGAGTCTGGCAATGCTGTGGGGAACATGATTCGGATGCTTGTGTTGTTGAGAGAGACTCGTGGGTTGGTCCGAGCATCATGGTGTGGGGTGGAATTGGTCTCGCACAGAGGGTTGGTCTTGTGGGCTTCCAGAACATCGGTCCAGGGAGAGGCAATGGTGTCACTGCAGCTCGGTACATTGATCAAGTCTTGAAACAACACGCCATACATCATTTGACACGTCTGTGCAGCCACGAGTTTCAGCATGATAACGCTCGTGCCCACACTGTGAGAGCACCAAAAGACTTCCAAGAGATTCAAAGACGGTTGACTGACGTCCGACCAAGGTCGACAACTACAGCTGAACTGTGTCAGGCGTTCCTCAGAGTGTGGGGTGAAGTGCCTATGGCCTTCATCAACCGCTTCATCCATTCCATGTATTGAGGTTGCATGGCTGTCATCAATGCACAATACTGACCTGTGATGCCATTTTCTCAGAGACTAGTGTTGTGTTTCACTTTAAGAACATTTGACACTTTAATTTCAACCTTGATGATCAGTTTTGCCAAGTTTCATCTTTTCAATGTGTCTCAAAGTATGTTTACAGTGTTTG